TGCATGTGGCGTATGGGAGAGAGGGGCGTTCGCTGAGTGCTTGCAGAGTACACCTGCTCTCGGGCCTCCCGCTCGTCCGCCATGCGACGCATGGTGTCTGCGAGCTCACGCATGAGGCGGGGATCCTGCCTGGCCTCCAGGGGAATGAGGTCAGTGATACCCCCGTTTCCCCCTGAAGTCCATATTGTTGCGGATAGTTCCGAGTTCTGGCCGCGATTCCGGCGGCTCGACTCCAGACGCTCGGAGAGATCACGCTGGGTGTTGCTTCCTGACATCGTGTTTGCAGTAGGTAGACTTAGTAGCTGTTTGGGAGAGTTTCTGGAAACTTTTTGTTCAGTTTCCCACAGACGGCGCCAGTGTTGAGGTTTATTCCTTCAACCCGTGGACCCAACACGTAAGCCCAAAGGTTTCGAGTGGAGTGAGGTGTATGAGTGTCTAGCCCACAATTATCAGATGGATCAGGGAACAAGAGTAATAGCAGGCAATGTAAATAGGTATTATTAACTTCGTAATAACTCCCCTAAGTACAATCTACTTGCTAACAAAGGCACGTCGGCCGTTCGTCTTACAAGGCAGTTAGAAATGCTGCGAGTAAGAATGCTGAAGCTAGTATGCTAAGAATAGAAAGTTGCCAACCCTTTACAATGGAATAAATGCTTCTATTTATACCCGCCAATGGGCAGGTGGCTGTAGTGACGTGGCATCCTGTGGACCGCTGGTGTCCCAACTACCAAATCTTTAGCATTAAATGCACTTCCCGCCAGAATCTAGGTTTCCCGCCGGATCAGTGGGGACGTTCGTCCACCGGGGAGTGAGTTGGATTGCTCCAAGGGACCCTTGAGAGATATCGGCTGCTCGTCTCCTGGCCTTGATAGATACTCACCATGCGGACTGGGTTTTCTCCGATGACTACAGGCTTGCTCTGGGGACGTTCGTCGCCATCCCTGGTGGCCCGTGGTTCTGCTCCTCGTCCCTGCATAGACGTCCGTCGAGATGAGCTGCTGGGCCTGAGTCCCCCAACACCAGACATTCGTCCATCCTCGAGGAACATGGGCCTGTGGGCCGGCCTAGTGTTCTAACTGGACGTTCGTCTGGCAAAATGGGTAGTGGGCCGGACCTCGGCTTGGGCCCTTAACCCAACATATATATATATATATATATATATATATATATATATATATATATATATATATATATATATATATATATATATATATATAAGTTCAAGTATGTTTATTTGAAATAAGAAGTACAATTGAGAATTGAGAAAAATTAAATAAATGAAATAAATTTTCTAATCAATAATCAATCAAAATCTTCGACTTCGGTTGTTTCCTCCATAAAGTGGCGGGTGGGGCGATGGTCAATTCTTGAGTTGTACGTTGGGCCTTCAACCAATTGAGGAAGCAATTTTCATACTACACTTCGCATAATTTTATATTTGTGAGTATATATTTGTTACACCAATTTTGGTATACTTTAGAGATTATAGACATTGTTTCTATTGAAGGTTTTTCATATTCATTATAATTCAATTAATGTGTTAATATATTATTATTTTTCCTATTTATAGTTGTTGCATATACCATAATAAGAAATCATTTTATGGTCTTTTCGTATGTTGTAAGATCAAATTAATTATTCTTGTGATTGTTTCAATTTCAATTAAGAATTACTCCCTTCGTCCCTATAACTTTGTCTCGTTTTATCTTTTTTGTCCGTCCCATTATGTTTGCCCCATACCATATTTGGTAATATTTGAGTGGTTACAATTCATTCTTACTTTATTCACACTTTATCGATTCAATATCAACCACGTAATTCCACTTTTTCTTGAAAGTTGTGTCACACACCTTTGTCCCAAACATAGTGGGACGGATGTAGCACACTTTAATCTATTAATTGCATTCAGTCCCAAATTTATGTTGAAAATTGTAGGCCCCAATAGACTAAGAATATTTTTGATCGATTGGTCTCCGTCGCAAATCAAATCAGACATGAAAAGATCAGATCGGATCATACCATACTTTGACAGTTATAAAAAACACTTAAAACAAACACCTACTCTTCAGTCCATACTAGATTGGACCACAAATTTCATACATAAAGAGACCAGATTGAATAAAAACTGAATTTTTTAAGCCGAATTAAAACAATCTAAAAACTCCCACATTCTTATCACATGATTTGAAATTTTTTGACAAGGCCAAAATTTTCTTATTTGATCTTATGTGGTCTGTTTAAGTCGATTTCGTTGGACCATCGATTATGTAAATTGTTTTTAGTTCTGGTTTATTATATATATATATATATATATATATATATATATATTTTGAAATAGTCTATTACATTTGTTAAAAACTTAGGGCCTGTTTACTAACAGAGATATTTTATAGTTTTCTACTTCTGTTTGTCACTCTCCAATTTTCTGTTTTCATTTTCTAGTTTTTCTATCTCCAATTTTCTGTTTTAATTTTTTAGTTTTTCATTTTCAAATCTGAAAACATGTTCATCAATTTTTTTCACTCAGTTCTGTGATTGTCCAGAAGACCGAAGGTGCGGTCTCATTCCGAAATTAAACCTAGTCCAACCTAAGTAGGGTACCACGCCCCACATATAGGGAAGTCGGGACCAAAACCGGCCGGTACCGGTCGATCTCAACGGTTAGTTTGTCGAATTCTTTTCTCATTTCCATATAGGTTGGCAACTCAACGCTCTTTTAAACTCTTCACTTTAAAAATGAATTTTAAAATAGACAGGGACCGCCTGGACGTGGATCAAACTAAACAAGGATCGTCGGTCATCGATGGGACCGGACAGGAATCGATGGGTCATTGACCGGATCGGACAGGGACCGCCGGGTCGTCGACTGGACTGGAAAGGGGTCGCGCGGTCGTGGACTGGACTTGACGGGGGATCATCGGGTCGTGGACCGGACATGGACCACTGAGTCGTCGACCGGACCAGACTGAGTTTGCTCGATCTTCGATCGGATGGACAGGGATCACCGGGTCAATGACCGGACCGTCAGGTCATTGACCAGACCAGGTAGGGACCGCCGAGTCGTTGACCTAACCGAACGGAGACCGCCGAGTCATTGACCATACTGGATTGGACCGAGACTGCCCACCTGTCGACCAGACATGTATCGCATTGTCGTGGACCGGATAGGAAAAGGACCATCGGTTCATTGATCAGACGAAAAGGATCGTCGGGTCATTGATGGGATAGGTTAGGGACCACTAGGTCGCGGACCGGGAAGGGGCCGCGATGTCATGGACCGGACAGGGACCGCCAGGTCATGGACTAGACCGGATAGGGACTGTAGGATCGTCGATCGGATCGCACCAGGATCATTGAGTCTTCGAACGGATCAGACCATGATCATTGGGTCTTCAATCAGACCGGACCGGGATTGCTTGCCGTTGATCAGACCGGACAAGTATTGTCAGGTTAATGACCGAACCGGACCACCGGGTCGTTGACCGGAATGGAGCCGACACCGCAGCGGGATCGGAATGGAACCGACACCGGAGCTGGATCGGATGCACCACTAGGAGTAAGTATGCAAATTCATTGCAGCGGCGCTGTAGCATTCGCGTTTTTCAAATTTGGAAAACTATTAAAAGTCACTTCTCCAATTCATTAAGGAAAATGGAGGCATGCCTCATTTTTTTCGTTTTGGAAAACAATTTGATAAACACATTTTGTCTGTTTTTCTTTCTCCAGTTTTACAGCAATTTTCTTTGGTAAACACGTTTTCTATTTTAGTTCTCAAGTTTTCTGAAAAAACTGGAAAATGTGTGTTAGTAAACCTGACCTAATTTTTTTGGTTGTTTTCAACGACATGCAAAACCTGTTTGTGCATCATAACTTGCCACAAACGGCTGAAATCGTGTTTCAGAGTATATTTTGTTACAATTATGCTCTTTGTACACACAATTGCACCCACCCTATACACACTATAAAAGCCCCAAAAAAAATTACCCCCACTTTTCCCCTCCTCCCCTTTTCCCCTCACCTCACTCGCGTAACTCCCTCGCTCCCCCCCCCCCTTCTTGAAAATCAAAACACCCGCCGCCTTTGAGAGTCGAAACTCCTCTCCCCCACCCATACTTGTCACCCATATCCCCATGAGCTCTCTGCGTTTGAGGTGTGAACCGGCATCCATCTCCGGAAGCTCACTCGCTCCCCCCCTTTCGCAGTAACTTTTCTCAAATTGGGACATTCGAAGCCCTGTCCAAGCGTTTAGAGGTTTGAAGCGAGGAGGCCCCATCCTCGCGCACGTGTTTAGGACGACGAAGCTCAGCAATTGTGCGAACCCCACTGTCAGAGATGGTGGAGTAGTATGTATCATTTCCCAACCTTTGTTTGTTTTTAGGTTTTTTTTTTATTTCTTGGGTTTTTAGCAATCTTTGAACATGGAACTGTGGGCTGGTTTATACACTGAATATGTGAAGTATTGTGTCTGAATCAACACTTATGTGTGATATGGTATGCTTCCTTTGTTGATGTGTATAAGGTGTGTGTGTGTGGTGGTGAAATCTTCATTAGGCGTTAATTGTTGTCTATGAATGAAATTGTGTTTGTGATATAATATATTTGTTTTGTTTTATGTTTATAACTTGCCTGTGTGGTGGTGTAAAGTAAATTTGTTGTTAATTATTGTCTGTGAATCAAATAATGTACATTTGGAGTTCATAAGTTGGCTGTGTAGTGGTGTGGTTCATTTGGAGTGTTAGTAATTGTCTGTGAATGAAATTGTGTCTATTACAGCGTAGTTCCTTTGTCTATGTTTATAAGTTATGTGTGTGCTGGTGTAAGTTTTATGTGGGGTGTTATTTTATGTTTGACATTTCTGTTTGTCCAACTGGCAGTCCGCTAAAGTTACGCATTCCGAGTCACGACTATTTCCCCGCGCAGTACTCTGTGTGTTTAGACTTTAGGAATGCAGCGAACTGGGTAAAAAAGAGGTTAACTGAAAGACAAAGGGAAGTGTTTAGGGATTTACCATGGGGGCATCTGATTGACATCCCAGAGACAGACAATTCTGGGCAAATATTGCACATGTTGGCCTTACACCTAGTGAAGGAGCAACCGGATGATGAGCTCTGGTTTGCCATTGGGGATACACTGTATAAGTTTACTTATGTGGACTTTTGCTACATAAGTGGATTACCAAACGGTGTTGAACCAGAACCTGAGGCAGCTGGGGATGAAGATTCTGAACAGGATGTTGGACATGATTCAGGACACGAATCTGCCGAAGAAGCTGAACCAGTAGGGGCCCTTGCTCAGAAATATTTTGGTGGCAAAGTTGACATTACTCACGTCACTTTGAAGAATAGATTTAAGAAACTGAGGTTTTCCACACGTGCTGATTCGATGGATGCTGTGAAGTTGGCCTCGTTGTACTACATTGAGTGCGTTTTGCTAGCAAAGGACAACACTACGAGGATAAATGCTTCATCAATCAGACTGGTGAATGATTTAGAGGAGTTCAAGAAGTGTCCGTGGTCACTTCGTTCATACAAGATATTAGTGAAGCATATGAAGGACCTGATGCATGACCAACCTCAGAAGTTCAAGGACAAAAAGCAGGGCAATCCTAAATATAAGAATGCAAAGTTATCATTATACGGTTTTCCACTAGTTTTGCAGGTATATATGACAACTTCCCTATTCTACTTATTTATTTATTTATTTATTTATATATAGGAGATAAATATATATTACTATGGATTGAATAACTATGGATATTAATTACATGTTAAATTTAAACATAGTTATATTTGACATTTAGTTTGTGTTTATTCTTATTTGGTATATATATACGGTTTTCCACATAGTTATTCTTAAATTTAAACTATAACTATATATATACATTTAGTTGCATATATATAACTATATATATACATTTAGGTTGTGTTTATTCTTATTTCTATAGGTGTGGGCTTACGAAGAAATTCCTGAAGTTGGTAACAACTTTGCAAAGAAAGTGGCTAATCATGAAGTGCCTTTGCTAAATTGGACTGCTGCACGCAAATTTCATTACTCAAAGCTTATACGACTGGTCTTGCCAGAGGTACGTGTGTCTCATTCATTAACTTAATTTCAAATAGCCGTAATTTGAGTAATACTTTTTTCGTAGGAGGTGAAGGTTGATGATTCAGAGGAGGGAGAGGAAGAAGATGAAAGAATCCAGGAAGACGTTCGCATTTTTGAAAAACAAAGAATATTGAAAGAGATGCGGGACCTACGGCTGTGTGTCGAAAGGGTGGAGAAGAAGATTACTGGTGTTGAGGATAGTATTTCAGAAATAAAGGTGCTACTCTTGAAGTTGATTAACAATCAGAATCCATCAGTTGACCAAGAGGTATGTTCTAACTTACTTCCGTGTGTCATTCACTGGCCACTTTCATTACCTTGGTGACTAACAAATTCAACTACTTGTATTGTAGGTTCATAAGGTTAATGATGATGAAGTGGTTCATCAGGATGAAGGTGCGGCTGAGGGTGTGGCTGAGAAGATAGTACAAACTGCTGAGGGTGAAGATGGTGCTGTGATTAAGAATTATGCCGGTCAGGTTGACGGTCAGGTTGACAGTGAAGAGAAACTGTCCTCGGAGGAACCAAACGATGCCCCTGAACCAGTGCCGATGAACACCGCGGTTGTAAATGAAGAAGCTGGTGATAGGGAAGGTTGCACACGGCCAGATATCATCATCTCGAGTGTGGTGAATGAGGTATATTTTTTTATGTATCTATGTTGTTATTTTTTGGGAATGAGAAATGAAGTGCTTCTTTATGTAATAGGTGAATTGGGAAAGTGAGCAGAATAAGGAAGGAAACACCTTCCCAGATCTAATGATGTGCTTAAACGAGGTAAATATGTGTTTTGGAGTTTGTATTGTGTGTGTATTAATGTCAATGTTGGCATGATGTAAGTTAACTGAGTATGTTATGTGTTGTGAAATTAGATTCTTGAAAAAGCATTTAATTGCATGGGTTGTGAACTCAGGTTGCCTTAATGATATGTGAACTAAGTATGAAGACTGTATTGTTTATGTGTTCAAATAAATGTTGGTGTGCATATAAATCTTTGTCTGTGTGTACTAAAATATGCCTGTGTGTAATGGGAATGTATGCAGGTGGAGGACGACAACCTACCTACATTAACAGCGCCCGCTCCATTTGAAAATTTGGAATGGGATGGACACGATGTTGGTAGTGCACCGGTAGATGTTGACGATGTTGAACTTTTGAGCGGGAAAGAAGTGAAAAAGAGAAAACGGTCTCGTTCAAAGTACCAATGCTCACCATATGTTGAACCGATTGTCTCAATTCTGCCTGCTCTGTTTCACCCAACTGTTGCAGATATTGCATCTCTGAAGGCTTGGATAGAAGAAGCTGACAATGTTGAATCGTCAACGGTTGTTCTGAATCTGCCATCATGTGATGAAGTGGACAGGGACTTTTTCCGTAAGCTTGTTGAACCAGACAAGACATTATGGTCCTATGTGAGTGCCTTATCTATTCCACAACTTTCTAAAGTTTTGTCATCAATATATATGTTTGACTTTATTATTTATTAGCATATGGATGCTCTTTCGTACCTGGTTCTAAAAGATTGTAAGTCGGAGAAGCCGTATAAGCTAATGAATCCTTACTTTACGGTATGTGTTGTTTATTTTAACCAAACTTACTTAATAATTTATGATTTGTTCGTAAATCATTAATTACATAATTGTTTATGTAATTAAAACGTTATGTTCGTGTAGCATCAAGTCTTGAGTAAGGATGATAAGGATGAGGATGTTTGGTTTGCTGATAGGTGTCTACCAAGTGTTGACTGGAGAGGGTTGGAAAAAGTAAGTGCTTAAAGTCTTCATTTAATTGTCTGTGTATTTATTTCATGAGTCAAATTTCATTGTTTTCTTGCTTTTATTAGAGTAACAAAGTGACTGCTAATGTATTATTTATTTGTTATTGTGTTCAGGTGTACGTACCGCTAAATGTTGTAGGTATGCATTGGGTTTTAGCGGAAATTGACCTTCAATCAAAAGTGGTGCGTGTGTATGACTCAATGAAAACAAGTAGGTCAAGGTTGCATGCCTCAAAGTTATGCGTGAGACTTCCGCTCCTCTTCCGAGTCATACAAGTCCACCCAGATGTGCGTGAGGCAAAGCAATGGAATGCTGAGGCAGTGGCAGATGTACCGCAACAGAAGGGAGGGTATGTGTTGAACAAGAACTTGTTTATGTGTTGTGTACATTTTTGTCTGTGATCACTTAATAATTGTTTATGTGTTGTGTACAATTTTGTCTGCGAGTACTTCATAATTGTTTTTTATGTCTGTGTTGCAGAACTGTTTGTGGACTCATGGTAATTTCTTATACGGAGGCACTGATGTTGGGACTACCCTTGAGCCCACATTGCGAGTATGCGAACGTGGCCAGAAAGAGATGGCACTTTGCCCTGCGACTTTGGAATTTGAGGAAGACAGTTTCTTAGACACATGCACTTTTCTATTTTTTGCTCACATCCAAATGTATAATTTTTTGCTCATGTAAAAACATTGGTACGGCCATGATGATGACGGTTCTCATGTAACAAACATTAAATACCTGTTTTGTATATTTTGGTAAGCTTTTGGAAAGAAATGTATGATAATGTACACTGTTGTACTGTAATCAACCTTGTACAGTATCCTACAAGGTTATTCCCAAGAGGGTTCAAATGAATCGTGTAACATTCGAACAAAATGACTGATGGTTTTTTCTTGATTTATAGCATTTCGGTATGGATTACGGGTTATGAAGTCTCAAGTGTTTCTAAATGCATGTGTATGTGAGTATATTATATTATTTATATACATTGGCCGCTGGGGTAATGCACATTTATTAATTTTTTGCAATTATAGATTTTGTTCAATATAGCATAGTACTTTACTAAATTAAGTAGTCTTGAATAATTTGAATATCAAAGTCAGTTAAAAACTTGTTCAATTAAAGCTTATAGTTCATAAAACATAATGTTCATATGTGCTTCTTTACAACCTTATGTTTGTGTCTATGAGTCAATTTTCTTGTTTGTGGCTGAACACCGATCTGACTATGAGGACATAATATTGTCTGTGACTAAAAACAGTGTGATTGATGATACAACAAAAACCAATACATCATAGTACATGTATTCACACCAAAGATAAATTTAAATCTAAACCATTAGAGTACAGCCTTGGCACATTAGTTGCAGTATTACTAGGGCCTTCACCATTACCATGTTGGATTGTTGTGGTTGTGGCTGGTGCATTATCCTTCTTAGCCCTTCCTTTCTTCTTCCCCTTTTCTAATGGACCCTTGGCCCGGTTTTTCCTTGGGGCTCCCTTTCGCTTCGTACATTTTGGATCTCCAATAGGTGGAAGTGGGACCTCGGAACGAATATTTGTTGTTGGGTCTTCAAGTGGCGTCATGTTGCCAACAATACAAGAATGGCTAACTGGAGGAGTATATGTGGTCAACTGGGTTTCCAACCAAAGGAGGACTTCATTGTATTTCGCCTCATCATCCGCAACCATGTTGGCAAGAGACTCAAAGGTCTTACATAACTTGTCAAAACGTTGTTGTTCAACCGTTGTAATCCACCCGTCATAATTTATTTTAACTCGTTGGTACGCCCTTTTCATGCCTTTCCTCCATCTACTCATTAGGTACACCTCGGGCAAGTGATGTATATCAAGCCGAACAAAGATCACAAGCAAGTGTCTACATATCATGCCCCTAAACTCAAACAAATGACAACTACATATTCCAAAACTAGTATTTGGGTCAAAGTCAATATGGAAGTTCACAATCTTCCTAAATCCATTAATATCCATATGCTCTTGCACGGTATATTTTCTACCGTCTTCACATAAAAGGATATCACAATAAAGCTTTCCTTCAAGTAATTCCCTTTGAAACTCCGCGAACTTAGAAAGGGTGTAAATTTGTTGAACTTGTTTTTCCATTGGATATCTAGTCACACATGGAATCATTTTGGTAAATGAGCTAGTATCCGCTTGAAATTCTTTTTCCACCTTATCACGCAAAGCACATCCGTATTGTTCAACAAATTGTTTTAGAGTGGTTTTGGAATTGACAAACTTATCGAAAAAAGCGTTGATGCTCTCACTTCGTTGAGTTGTGGACATGCCGGCCCAAAATGTTGGCTTTAAATAACATGGTACCCACCGCGTTCTTTCATTGTACATCACCCGAAGCCAATCATGCTCTTCAAGTGCAAACCTGAACACATTTAAAGTGCACAAAGTCAGTTTGTAAATAAATCACAAACAACTTATTCTCTGCCCACAAACACATTGTGTCCGTGACGTACAAACTTTATCGTCTATGATAAATACACCTGTCTATGAGGCAGAGAAATAGTTACTGTCAGAAGAAGAAAAAAACTTACAAATTCATCATACCTTTGAACCATGTCAAGCCATTTCTCCTCAAACTCTTGGGTGTATTGTGAATCATAAATGCAGTCATGTATAACATTCAATATTTCATCTTTGTGTGCATCCCCTCCGAGTTTTTCGGGTACCTTTTTCATTATGTGCCATAAACACCATCGGTGCTTGGAATTTGGGAATACAATTGCAATGGCATTTTGCATAGCACGGTCTTGGTCGGTAATAATCCCCATTGGAGCAATTCCATCCATACATTCAAGCCATGCTTTAAACAACCACACAAAGGTTTGTGTATCTTCGTTAGAGACTAATCCACATCCCATTAGCAATGATTGCCCGTGATGATTTACCCCGACAAATGGTGCAAAAGGCATGTCATACCTATTCGTAAGATAGGTCGTGTCAAATGTTATGACATCTCCAAATTCTTTGTACGCATATCTAGACCTATTATCGGTCCAAAATACATTACGCAATCTTGACTCCTCATCTAAGTCAATTACAAAGAAAAATCCGGGACATTGGTCTTGCATTTTAGCACAGAAACCTTGAATGGCAATTGCATCGCCACTACCTAGCCTAAGTTGTCTCACTTTATCTATATAGTTCCTACAATCTTTTTCAATGAAGGGAAGTTGATCATATCCGCCGGCTTCAACAACGGCCGCGGTGAAGCTTTTATTAAGTCGTATTCCCGCAGCTTCATTTATTGCAAGTTTCCTCGCCATTCCATGAGTCATCCTCCTATGGCACCGGAATAGTCTGGCCTTTGTTGGACTCATAGGATGTGAATGTTGTAGACACACTTTTGAATTTTGCCAAAGTCCCGAATAAATAACGTGCGCACGTAGTCTAGCTCCACACCCTATTTGCATTGAAGGTTGGGGCTTCAATTGATTTTTTGACTGACTACCTCTATGACCAGCCCGCGAACACTCCAGTACAACTGACACAATCTCTCTTCCTCTTTTGTCTTTTGTTGTGCTCCTAGTTCTTATAGGAAATCCCAAACGCTTCCCATATGCTTTGTAAAAATCATAGATCGCTTCTCTGCTTTCAAACTCCATACCAACTTCCGGCTCTGTACCAAGTTCACTCTCCTTTGCCATCCCTTCTCCATCTGTTATGGTAAATTGCTCATTTATTGATGCATTTGAACACACTTAAACTTACACACAGACAGTGATATATGCACACACAGACAATTCCAAACTTTAACATACATGTTGAATACTACACAAGCAAACAAGTCTTCCACTGTCTACATACAAAAACAAACACACACATAAACAAGTGACACCTCCTACAACTTGCATGTGTCACCAAACGTTTGCATGCGTTTAAAACAATTTAGTACACAGACAGTGATATATGCACAGACACAGACAATTCTAAAGCTTCACAGACACGTTGAATACTACTAAGGGGTAAGCACATACAATTCAAAAGTTTCACATGATGTATGATTTTTGAAGAAACATATGCATCAGTTGATACCAACTTAGGGGTACACAGACACATTATGTATCCACCACTATTTAGGTACACAAACAATTAAACACATAAACACATAAGAACATGTCTGTCAGAAGAAAGCTATTTTAATCTTCATTAAACTACTACAAACATGAGATGAAGTCCTACCGAGGTCAGAAACAACGTCCATAGCCGCCGGCGACGTCTGTCCTTCATCCTCTCCGCCCAGGTGCGTCTCAACGTCACCTTCTCCACCTCCGCCACTGTGTCCATCAACTTCTCCACCTCCGGCCTTCTGTCCAGAGCCTTCTCCGCCTCCGCAAGTCATGTCGTCACCTTCAATTAATCCGGCCGTCTGTCCGTCGGTTTCTCCAGCTCCGCCGGCGTGTCCTGCTTCTCCACCTCCGGGAACAACATTCAACAAAGCCCAAAACTCAGGGTCGTTTCTCACCATGCTCTCATCCATGTAAAAATCCATGGTGGAGGAAGTAAAATCCAGAAATTATCTTTGCTTTTGGTGCTTATGATCGTCGAAGGAAGAAGAGAGGAGGGGCGGGTGTTTTGATTTTCAAGAAGGGGGGGGGGGGGGAGCGAGGGAGTTACACGAGTGAGGTGAGGGGAAAAGGGGAGGAGGGGAAAAGTGGGGGTAATTTTTTTTGGGGCTTTTATAGTGTGTATAGGGTGGGTGCAATTGTGTGTACAAAGAGCATAATTGATTTTGTTATCAAAGTTATGTTTTTGATCATTTGTGTTCAATTTTGCCGTGTTAAAACGAAAAAAGCTCAAATTTCTATTCACGGTCCCACCACTTCATCAATCTTTTCCCTTCTTTAAGTTCTCTCCCCCACTCTCTATGGCAGTTTCACTTTCCTTTGTTTCCCCTCTCCAGTCTCCCCCTCAAACTTCAATCGCCGCCCCATGCGCTAGAGCTAAAGCGCTAAGCTCTACCTAATTTGAGGTGCGTCAGTGTTCTTCCCGCCTGGGTTTCTCCCTGTTCAACTTTCTGGTCGGTGGAAATAGAATAGATGCCCTTAAAACATCAATAAAATTAGTGTTTTGTGTGCATTTTGGGTTTTCTTTTTATGGTGACGTTGTATATGGTTGGAGAAGTGTATGCCCCACTGATTCAGGGAAAAAAATATATTTCAATTTCAATCTGAATTGCATGTATTCCTAGTTTCTTCTTTATATAAAAAATGTTTGGGGTTGGTGAAGCCAGTTGTGGAGGGTATTCAGAAGAAAGTTTCGATCTTGGCTGTGGGTTTTCATGAGGGCTTATGTGAATTGGAAGAACACAGCCATATTAGGTAATTCTAGAGAGGTGAACATTTGTGAAGCAAAGTCAGATCTTTTAGGGGTAAATATTTGTTAGTAGGTTGATGTTTCAAGGTCAAGTGTCATTCTTGAGGATCAGATTGATCATACGTTGGATGTGTTAGTATTTTTGTTAAAGGGGAGATCATAAGCTTCGAGAGATCCTATTTGCTGGAAAGTGAAAGGCAAAATTTGATTCCTTGTCTGCCAGGTAAGGCTACAGGTCATTGACCTCCATTGTGTGGATGAATTTCAATTAAAAATTTGTAGTTTTTTCTTTCTTGAAAGCTGCACATTGCCGTTATATTCAAAGTATATGGATATTGAACCTTACCCATTTTTTTGAGTTTTTTCCCGAAATTGGCCGGGTAAGAAGTGAATTCCAAAGCTCACTTTTCGTCATTTTCGGAAACTCAAACTTAAAATTCGGGAATCTTGAATTGAGAAACCCATATTCTCAAATTAGTTGGCTTCTCACAAACGTAAGGCTTCTAGGTTTCTACGGGATTTCTGTATGCAAATTGTTGATGTGATAGGATTTCTCTATATGTATTTTAGTGTGGTTCTGTGGTCAATGTCTTGCTGAACAACTTCATCCAACATTTGGTTATGTAGTAATATATGAATTACATCTATGTTTGCACATGTAGTCCATATATTTGGTTATGTAGCGAAGTTTCTATAAAAATATATTCATATCTGTCTGTTGAAAAATTTATAGATATATCCCTATATTTTTTTTTATAACTAAGCACTCTCCCATGTTCTAGAAATCCATATTTTTAAAGCACTATTTTGCATGTTTGTTCTTTGGAGTTTTTATATTTGTTGGTGGTATCTTCTAAATTTTAAATGCCCTTTCCGGTAAATTTTCTACATTTGTGGTATCTTCTTTGCATTTTTTTTCTGTTTACTTCCACATACACACATTTTAATCTTATGAATATATTTTTGAATCTTAGAGTATTGTTTTGAACTTTTCTTTTTCTGGCATGTCAAATGCTGAATGGATGTGTTTTGTAGAATAGACTTGGCTTGACTAGTTGATATTACTCGAGGTAACATTTGGTTAGTTGTAGTGCAATGGAATAAATTTGTAGCATATTTTTTTACACATCTAGTCTTTACGACTAATTCATTCCTTTACGCTGCATTAGTTCAACTTGCCAATAGTATTTGTTTTGATTGTCTAATTCACTATAATTTTTCTTTGCCTTTTTACTTCAATCCATTCGATGTGAGGCGAAACTATCTGAGAGGCTTTTCATTTGATTTTTCATATTTTATCATCTTCACCAAAGCCCATTATTCAATTTGTGTTTGTGAGGAATACTTTTTTATTTTACTTTCTTCAACTTGATTTGAAATGGAAGAGCTGAGGCTCATAGCAGATTCATTTCCTTCCTTTTTTGCTATTATTGGTCAAGCCACTTTTAAATTATTTAACTTATAGGTTGTGATTTTCAGGATCCACATAAACATAACCAAATTCTGAAATTGGTCATTCTTTTGGCCATTCTTATTTTGGCTAAGATTGGTGAATAGTAGAACCTTAGCTAAACGAAAACAACACATAAAACGATCTCAAGAAATGGCCAAGAGAGCACACAGGCGTTCTTTACGTTATGAAAGAGATCGGGCAGGTTGTATGTGGAGTTTCATCAGGATCTTTGACTTCCGCCGTAGTGTATCCTCCAGAAAGCTGCTTGCAGATAGAAGGCAGACTATCAGAGCTGGTAAGAAATGTTTGAAGAATTCATTTATTATCATTACCTTTTATTCTGTTGAACATTCTTGTTAGTGCAGATGTTGATACCTTCCTTTTTTCTTTCTTTTCTACCTAGGTGTTGCTTCAAGCTTAAAGGTCACAAGTCCAGATCACAGTGAGAACAGCGTTCGAGTTGAGGTATTCTGAGCTCCACTTCACATTCTTTACTAGTCTCAAAGGAATACAATTTTTTTTGGGAACACCTTACCAATTTATTGAAAGAGGAAACATACAAGGTAGGGGGACTAGACCAAAACCTACCCGAGAAAAATTAAATAAGGATAAGCAATCGAAAAGGAATACAATAGAAATTGCACTAAATGACTAAAGCATAAACCATATTCCTATATAGGTTCACTATTGTTTTCTATTCAAAATAGGACATTTACCCTTAAAAGGGAACACTAATAATTTACATAAAGACATGTATGAGTTCTCCTTTGGGAAGAAAATTGGCAGTTGTATTATTTATGAAGATGCCTCATCCGTGTTAGAAGTGAATGGGTTCTATTTTGGAAGAAAAAATATTTATTGTAGGGCACGTTTTAAATGGAGAGAATGACCCTTTTATATGACATGCTTTTCTTTATACTAATTATTTTAAAGCAAAAAGATGAGATGGGGCTTTACAAGCGAAAGCACTAAGCGAAGCGTCCTTTTCTCACAATAAGCTGCACTTCATAGACACATAATTAAATTATATGTTGTTCAGGGTTAAGACAAAAAACTTAAATACGCCTGAGCTTGTCGCTCGTCTGCGTTTTGTCACTTAAGCTCGCTTTTGACAAGCTTGCTTTTCTATGAAAGAATATATTGTTCTTTTCAACTGTGTGCCGCCATTAAGTGTTGTGTTCATGATTTAAAAACATTCAATTACATACTAGCGACAGAGGGTAAAATTCAAGCATCATAAGATTGTTTTAAGAATTCAAGATACCATGTGTTTTTGCTAAAACGTTGCCTTAGTCTTGAACTGGTTACTGATACACTGGTTTACAAGCTCTCATGTCCATATATACTGACATTCACAATTTAAAATGTCACGAACTTTAGGGCACCAAAGAAAGAGAGTTAGCAACATGTGATGAAGTTAAAACAAGGGTGAAGCAACTTATGCATGAAGATATGATCAACAAATCCACCCATAAGAATCAAAGCAATGATGATACTAAAGTTGAAGCACAACCGTTTGAGTCTACCCATAGAATAAAGCCTGCTAAAAAGACAAATGAAGTTCTCAGGCATTCTAGAAATTTATCTTTGTCTGGTTTGGATGATGATGTCACGAGAACAGGATCTGAAGTATCTTCTTCCCGATATAAAGTCTGCAGCTCCAGTGACTTGCATTGTTCAACAGAAGAGCAGTTGAGCTCTGCAATTGAGGTGTTTATAAATCATAAACTGAAGAACAGTAATATTCCCATAAGAGAAGAAGTTGAGATTAATAGTGATAAGTCCAAAGAGTTGACCGATGCACTGGAGACCTTGCGTTCTAACAAGGAATTGTTCCATAGACTCTTACAAGACCCGAATTCTAATCTGGTAAAACATATTGAAAGCCTGGACGATGGATTACAAAAAGAAGCGGATGATGAAATCACTGAACATAATAAACAGCAACCACAGCGGTCACACAGGAGAACCAAATCTCAGGGAAGCTCTCATTCTTCAAGCAAAATTGTAATTCTAAAGCCTGGCCCAATTCACAATAAGGTGCCGAGTGAGAGAAACTCATCCCTCTTCTCTTTTACTGAAATTAAAAGAAAGCTTAAGCATGTTATGGGAAAGGACCACAGGGAAATAATCTCTCCCGAGGTTAAGAAGCGTGCTAACAATAGTGAGAAAGGGATTAGTGGAGATAATGTGGGGTGGAGTTCTCCAAACAGAAACCATTTTTACACAGAGAGATTTGCCAAGCCGCTTCCTTCAACATGTGATTATCATCCCAAGAAAAGGGTACCGGATATATATCTTGAGGCCAAGAAACATATTTTCGAGATGTTGGATAGTGGTGAGGAAAAGGAAGGGTCTTCAATGAGTGGGAATTTGTCCAAATCTCTTGGGAGGATTCTCTCGTTTCCTACTAATTACTATAGTTCTTCTAGAAGTAGCTCTAGCAACAGTTTTAGCAGTGAAGATCAAATCCGTTTTCCACAGAGAAGAGTGGAAGCAAATGTGCCTTCAACTGGGGCTGTTCAAGGTATTCTTCTTTTGTTATGACTTATGAGCATCCCATATGCCATTCCTTACAAGAACATTTTTCACATATGTTCCCATGATTATTGGGCCATTCCTACTATTGCTCCACAACTTTTAATTTTTTCTCCACTTCTGTGCACGACTATTGATTTTTGGCACTTTAGG